CTCCGGGGCTCCACCGGTTCGAGGCCGCTGCGGGGCATTTTGCGTGGTGACCGCTCTGCTGCTTTTTCATTGCGGCAAACCCAGGAAAAGTTACCCCAACTATCCCAGTGCAGTAAGAAATGAAGTCAATGCTGCAGCCCGCCCGGTTGCGGTATGCCTTTGGGGTGCAGGGGAGAAGGGCTGGGGCTCAATCATGGTTTATTCACCACATAAACACCGGCTCGTCGGGCTGGACAGGAGGCAGGGAAGACCTGCTACAGGACCAAGCCCTGCCCCTTCTACCTGCCCCTGACACATCCTGTGATTAAAACACCCCCTTAGTTAGTACTTAGCTAGAAATTATTCTTACTTCACCACACTCCCATTAACATCACCCATTAAATACCAAGAAAGGGGTGCAGGTGTACCAAAGACCAACGATTCAGGGTTTGTTTCTTTTATAAACCCTTAAGACTCACATTCAAAAAAAAAAACAAACCCACCAAAATAAACCCCACAACATACATGTAAAGTCAAATCCCATCAAAACAGAAAATTGACACAAATTTTAATATTTATATATTTTAAATCAAAACACAATTAAATATAGTATGTTTTAAGTACATGAATACTTGGGCATGAGAGAAATAAGAGGTGGTACATAGTACCAAAAACCTATACACAGCCTTTTTTGCTTTTTTATAGACAATACAGTGTATCTCTAGACAATCGAATATTGCAACAGAATAACGCTTGCTAAGTCAATCAAGATATTCCAAACATTGGAGATGATTTGAGTTCTTCACAAAGTGATTTTTTTTGCACAAGTTTGAGGAAAAAAAAAAGCAATCATAAGAGTAAAACAAAAAACCCAAAGTGGAAGTGTTGTATACTAAAAATGCAGCAATAACATAACGGTGAGACACTGAGTACTTTTGATACCCTGCAAAATCAATTCCCTGGAAAAAAAAAAATAAAATAGAGGTGCTGTGTAACATGGTGGCTTTTTTACTTGAACTAAAGGTTTTGCAAGTTGCAAGTGTTGACAATGTCAGGGAGAAGGCCAGAGGTCATTAAAAACTGTTTTTCTTTGTAAACCAAACATCTGGAATTAGATACTATGTTGTTGGGAGGACAACAAGCTATGGAGAATGGCAGCAATTACTTTTTGCCTTGCTCATGGGATGGCGAGGAAAGAAAATGGAGCAGTCTACAGGGTACGATCTCCTCAAAACATGGGCTGCGGAGCCGTGGCCCAGGAGCAGAGGGTTGCACAAGTGCAAGATCACTTCTGAGTCTGCTCCCTGTTGGAAGCAGGGGATTGTGTGTGCAGGTGTAAGAGCTCAACAAGAGTTACACTGTCCAGGCTTCGCTCCTGATCATTCTACGCTGCCTTCGGAGTTAATGTAGTTATGAAGTAAAATACATTTATCTTACAGTTGAATATGCATCTATTTCAAGTAAGGAAAAATAAAACTTAGAACTTTTTAGGTCATTCACCGCCAATGAATTCACCATTTCAGGTTCACTTCTCCAATGGCCAATGTCAGGGATGTGCCCCATGGCCTTTCCAATTATGTATTTAAAAATTACAAGTAGTAGAACTAGAAACTACAGCAAAACCTTCCCCTCTTTGTTGTGGCTTGTGCCCCATTCCAGATATTTTGCTTAAAAGTCTTTTTGACAGGGTCAAGTATTTGTGAAGTCGATCACAGTTTCTCAGTGACACATTCGTAAACCACATCTTCATCTCTTTAAAAGCCATCATTATTGTGAATGCCACATACGACAGGAGAAAGTGTTTCTTCACGCTCTACAGTGGAGGTACAGGATTGCTTCTTTTTAATTCTTCCTTATAAACGAGGGAGATTTCGGTGGTTGGAGTAACAGTGCTTTGTTTTTATTGGCTGTGTTAAAGAATCCACCAAAAGGGAAAGTTCACTCATTCTCAAAGCGGAAAACCAGATTTCCTGTTCTGGCATTTCTAAAATCATAGCTGAAAAAGGAAGAACAGGGTTAGAGTTCATTTTACCCTAAAACATACAAGGCAATCGCTCAATAGAAAGACATTTTGTGTTTAAAATGTTGAAGCCAGGTACGCTTATGAGTCTGGGAGAGGAAAAAAAAAAAACCCTAATCCCCCAAAACACAACCTTCCAATTACTGTAACCATACTTGCTTAATTGAATCCAGAGCATCTGCAGCCATTTGATATTTCTAAATACTGTGCTGAGAGACCTTTTCATTTAGCCAGACTGGAATTACATCATTTGCAGCCAAGCTATTAAGTGAAATCATTATATAAGTAATTTAAATATAACTGCTCTACTAACAAGAAAACAGTCACATAGTGAAACTATAGAATCATAGAATCATAGAATCATAGAATGTTTAGGGTTGGAAGGGACCACTAGTGGTCATCTAGTCCAACCCCCCTGCAGTGAGCAGGGACACTGCTAACTAGATCAGATTGCTCAGAGCCCCATCCAACCTGGCCTTGAATGTTTCCAGGGATGGATCCATCCATCCATCCAGGTCTAATACCCAGGCTTTGGCACATGTTTACCTTCAATAATTAGAAAAAGTGCAAGTTAATTTTAAAAGTCAGATCCCTGAAAGCCAGAGGTACCAGACATTAACTTGGTAAACTGCTGTCATCATTATTTCACAAAATTTGACTGTTGCATCAAACTGGCTTTTTTGGGGTTTGGTGGCAGGGTTTTTTTGTTTGTTTGTTTTTTAAACAGAGAACCTGGATTTGTACGACAACGACATAGCTAAACAACAATACACCACACTAAACCACTGGCCTACGGAGAGGGCTGCTGTGTCTTTGTTAAAATGTAGACACAGCACTGCATAAATTAGCACACCCAACAAGACAACTCAACTTGCCAGCTGTTGAGCTTTACTGACACTTTAGGCAAATACACCAGTACTCACTAATGTGAAACAGCAAGTGTGAACTCAGTAAGGAATGACAGTATTGATCCTGCTACCCAAATCACCCTTTTAACCAATAAGGCCGTTTGCAAAGACTCAAAATGAACAAAGACAATTTTAACGCTTGCACAGGAGGACCACTCAGCGTCTTAAGAAATTCCTACATCGTCATACCATAGGCTGAAACACTTCCAACCTTTGTTTCTTCATACCATGCTATGCTAGTTTGAACATTTCCCAGCGTGGGTTTCAGACGCGCTAGGAAGGCAAGAAAGAGCTCTGCTCCTCCCACAGTCTGGCTTAAGTCAGATAAAGACAGGCAGCCTTTCCACCCCCTTACCTTCGTAACCTTCTCTGAAGGCTGTTCACATTGCGCCTGCTGCATAACGTCATTGACTATCATCTTCGCTATCCTCCAAGCCATCTCTTCTTGAGCCTGCCGTAAAAAAACCATCCCAAAAATATAGATAGCTTCAAGTTCTTAAAATAAAAATACAGTTCTCTCAGCACAATTCAAACACTCAACCTTGGAGACGCAGTTAACCTTCACAACTCAGCGACTTGTAGCAAACGTAGCCTCCCTTGATGGAAATGCACCTGGCTTTTAAGTACAGCATTAACTTCAATTATTGTGAATATTTATGACTCTATGCAATTTCCAAGAGAGTTAGTGAAGTTTTTAGACTTATCTTGTTGGGGACTTGGACAAGCCCCTCCAAGGGGGAAAAAATGCAGCCTGTGATCCACGTAACAGTGGTCACTTCACAGTAAAAAAACCAAAGGACAGCAAGCACCTCCACTCCTAATTGTAGATATTACGGCCAGGATTAAGAACTTCAATACTTCATTTCCCTAATCTACATGGTAAAGTAAGCCACAAGGATAACATAAAAGAGGACACACCTCATCTGTGTTTCCTTGAACCCATTTCTTCATTGCTTGTGAAAACATGGACCCTAGGTGAGAAAAAAAAAGAAGCAAGGTGTATTAGCAAGCTCTGTGGCACACCTCTATAGAAGCCAATTCCCTCCACCCTTCTGAAGGGTGCACTGCGGGCATTAGAGAACACAGAAGAGTGGCAGGAAAGACAGACAAGGGATTACATGGAGCCATGGTTCATTAGACACTAAGCCCAAACCACTCCTCTTTACCAGAGCTGAAAAGCAGCATTAACAGCAGATCCCAAACTGGGTGGGAAGCATGTGGAGCTGAAGTTCTTTTTCATCTCGAGACCAAATCTTTGAAGGTTTGATCATCAGCTCAGCTGCTAGCGGCTTTCATCCCTGCCAGGTTCCATCAACAGCTCCAACGCCCACAGGCTGATCATACTCCCAGGAGTCCAGCTGGACCCAAAAAGCAGAATTTGGTTAGGAAACTGGGCCAGAGATGGGTTTTGCCTCAGTACAGCAGGATCCTCTAAGCATCTCTTATTTGGCTTAAAACAGATCTGGAAAGAGTCAAGAATCTTGCTTATCTTGACTGCAGTAAGGGAAAAAAAGCAGTTCTGCAGATGTTTACAGAAATGGAGGGAAACGGGAAAGAGGAAAGCAAACCTTTTGATTTTTTGACATCAGGCTCTGGTTCAGATTCTCTGATAAACTGTCCCAGGTCACTAACTCGTCCAAACGTCATCTTCCTGAAGAGGGAAGGAGTAAAAGAACCACACAGGTTACCAAGAGAACTTCGGCATTACGGCAAGCTACCACTCAAGAAAGCAAAAAAGCCACCGCAATAAAGCCTCCAGTGTCAGAAGACTGGCGTTTTACCAGTTACCACCTCTTCCCCCTAAAATTGATACATTGGGAAAAATCTCCCACTCTTCTCACGTATCTGAATTCGAAGCGTATCTTAAAAATTCTTCTAGAAACTAGAAGCAGGCAAATGCTTCAATGACTCAATGACGTAATATCAGCAGGCAGTGCTAGGAAGTGGTCTACGCTATCATAAAAACATGTCATTAGGCAGTTTACAGTACCTGAAAGGACAGAAGACTGGTACGCAACAGAAAAACAAGGTAGCTATAGAAACGACTTCTGTACGAGATCCACAGAGCAGAACAGCTTTGTAACAAAGAGCAACTTAAGAAACAGAATAGCTGTGCAATCTGCTGAAGAAATGAAGTATAAGCCCTTCTCTACCATAGGGGTAGGGAGAAATCCAAGCTGCACATTACAATATCAAAGGCACCCGAGCTTATTTTTGTCTGTTCCAACCCCAAATAGGAACTACTAAGCTGTATTTTGGAGTCAAAGAGGGACAATAACTAGGAGAAAGAGAAAACCAATTAGAAATATTTTTCTGTCTGCCATTCTGGTCAGAGAAACATTCACTATGACATTGGTGTTAAATCATGCTATTGAAATTAATTTACTTTCAAATATTAAGACATGTACTAAGATTACAACATCTTGCATTTAAGCCTACTCTCCATGCAGGAGGACACAGCAAAATGAAACAGAGGTGAAACACATAACTAGGAAGAACGAGATACACTAAATGAACCTTACCCTGCATACGTTCGTTGATATAAAGATTCTGGATCCAGACTTGCAGCATCTACAATTATTGCTTCATCAAAATTTTTCAGGATTTTAACATTAGCCTTTTTGACATTGGACTACAAATAAAAATTCTAAGTATTAGTGCCCAATGCAGACAACTAAGAGCTGCTTAACAAAACTGCAATTTTAGTGCTTTTACACTTAGATAAACCTCCATAAAGTCTCTAAGCAAGCGTAAAAGAATTAGAGAGCATCTACACAGCAACCAATTCCTAACTCAGTGTGACACTGGTTTTAAACAGAGGATGATAAAGTTATTGAGCAGAGCCAGAGACACAATGTACAGGTCAGCATACGTATGTGTAAGGACTGCTGACTAAGCATTATCAACTGCCCAGGTCTGTGTGCACGTGCAAATGACTTGTTGGCGAGTACGTAACACTGAACTACCTCACTGAACCACCTCACAAGCTGCAGCAGCTTCACTCATCCCTCTCATGCACTTGGTAAGCAATTCCCAAACACACCACACTTCCCCCATACACAGAGAACAAACATTTATCTTTTTGGCCTGGAGTATTTATATAAGATTATGAAAAAAGCCAAGGAAATATTAGAGCAACAGCAGGGAGAGCACAAATGCACAGCACCTTTAATACAGAACAGAAATGTTTATGGCAGCTGCCTTGCAAGCTCCTTTCCTGCTGCTCTGCGTTCTTTATGCAAAAATATGCAGAGACCGGGAGATTGTCCTATTCAGATAAGTAGGAGACACCACAAAATGCAGCACTTCATTCCCAAATTGTCCAAGCAAGCTAGTTACCAGCAGTTTGTCCTGCCCAGACTACCAGGCAGCAGGATATTTCAAGAAGGTCAGAACACAGATTTTATTCTGCACTTTGCAACTAGGCAGGAATACTCCCCTCCTTGCAAATTAGGTGGTTTAAAAATATTACAAGCAGGTAGTACAGCTTCCAAGTTGCTTGAAACACAGTACATCAATAACGTTGGTCTAGATATTGGATTTAAAACCCACGGTAGCACCGCAGCATTCAATAAAAGCAATTCAGCAAAAGCAGTTCTAGCTTAGCTTTTCTGCTCTCAGCTGGGCTTGCAGTTCGCAAGCTGACCTGGTTACAGATAAGCTAGAATCTGCTTATCCTCTCTTCTTTCACAGCTGAATTAAGCAAAGCTAGAATTTTTGGTTTTAACCAAGAGTTGTCTGTTCCACATCTGCATTACTGGGATGGTTTCAGAGTGTAACGAGCTCCACTGCCCATCTCTGAGGCTAGGCCCACAGTGGAACACAGCTCTCAGAAAGCGGCACCACAAAAGGCAATAAAAAAAGCAAGCAGCTGGCCCACAACCAGGGCACCAGGCAAAGCAAATACACAGTGGACATTTCTCAATGACTTTGGAAGGGTAAGAGAGCCGAAGGAGCCCAGTCACATTCTCATTTCTACACTGTACAGCAAAGCAGCAGTTGCACAGTTCTAATCATACTTAACAAATGATTAGAATGCCTTACCCAGCAACAGACTTTTTTTATGCCCACCTTTATGTCAAACTATATACATGCAAACAAAATGCAGGTATCGCCCCCCAGCTCAGAGCATCCTGGCAGTAACATAGCGAAGTGTCAGAGCTCTCATTTGGAAAGGTCAGGAGCCTGGCCATTTTCTATCAGACCAGCACGACTAGCTGGCTTGAGGATGATAATAGGGAAAAGTCTGCTGAGGCAAATCAGCGGACACGGCTTGGTCAGATATTAACTGTTATTGCTCTATGCATGAGTAGACAGACGCCTTGAACCCTAGAACTGAGTGGACTCTTCAGGACAGAAGATCTGGCACTTTGTGCAAGTTTTGTGCGCTCAGTTCTATTATTTATATTTAAATTCTATAGCATATTCACAAGTGTCATGTTTTCCTAAAGTTTTAACAATGGTATTGATTAAAAAAGTGTTATTTCTAGTAAAAAGCATTTTTAACTATTAGGGCACCAAGAAACAGTCTGCAACGAGTATTAACAGCTTAGTAAAAACATAACTTTGATGCAAAGAACTAAAAGCAGTACAAGACTCTGGGTACAACAAATACCATAGATACCCTTCCATGCCAATACTGTCTGTCTGAACTTCGCAGCAGGGAGACTAAACACATCCTAATATAACACAGGCTTTAACGTTAAAGTGGAATGGGATTAACTGTAATCAAATTACAAGATGTTTCCTTACAGCATAGCAACTTTGATATTGATATAGGAAATGCTAAAATCACTTCTTTGTAACTGAAACAGGATATATAACAGAACTCATACCTGGGAGGCAGAGCCATCCGGGCCCCCTATAGAATCACTATCGGGAGAGCTACCGGGGCCATGAATATTCAGTGCAATATTCCCTCCTGGAAATTCATCTCCTCGTACTGAATGGATGAGATCGTTCAAGTATTTGTAGTAAAGGTTGCTGGACAAGAAACCAGGTAAAAAAACCTGAGAGACAGAATAAGGAGTCCTCTTTAATCAAGGCTGGTCTGCACCATTACTGTAGATCATTTGGGGAACAGAAGAGACACAAAAACATCTCAGTCCTTGTGTAGATGGTACACAAGTAAAAGTGTCCACACGTGGAATTATTCCAGATTAGCGATTGCATTGCTTTAAATTTGAATCCTACTGCAAAATGAACAAAAATAACCTCATATTAACCAAGTCCTCCAGTAACTGGAACTGAAGTTCAGATTTTTTTTTCCCCTCTAGAAAAGCCTGACAACCCATCAGGCTTACAGTTATTTTGCTATGCTGTTCAAAAATCACCTGCAGCTCCAGAATCAAATCATTAACCTCTAGTATCCAGTTGTCCCAGAGTTATGCCATTAGCCACACCACTGGTACTGGACTTGCAAACAACTGCTACTAGCAGGAAGGAAAACTTTCTAAAGGTATATAATAAGCTGTTGATAGCAATTTGCATGGGAGGAAATTCTGTTACTTCCATTAAAATGCAATAATCACCCAAGACAAACATTTCACAGCGAATTAACAGAAGCCAGTGGATGGTATCTTTTCAAATCAAGCTGGGGAAAATAGCCTAGCTATTCTACTAAAGCTGTTCCACTATCCAGGTAAACAGGAAGTCAGTAAAAGAACAAGACAAATCAGAGATGCTAAAGGGGACACTTGACACACTGCACAATCTCCGGATCATCTTTACTGTCAAAACCATTCTGAAGAAGGTGTCTCACCGTCTCCATGGTAGTCCACGCCTGTCGTAAGGGAGTGGTGAAACAGTTAGGGAGAGGACCACCTTCCCTGCAGATGTTGGATTCAATCTCTAACCTTACCGAGTCATCAAACCCAAGAGGATGCGTGGCTTGAAGGGAGAAGTACCTGCAGCACCGGACAGGGGAAGAAAACAACACAAAAGGATTTGCAAAACTTTGCAGGTGGTTAGTACCCACCCTTACCACCGAAGGCCAATCGTGCTGCAGCCACTAGATGGTGCTGGCTTCAAAAACGTACATAAAACTGATCCTCACTAAGTACAGGGGGAAAAAAAAAAATCCCCAATTCACAGAAATATTTTTGATAAAGCCTTGCCCTGAAGGTACAGATAAAAGAGACAGAGCATCATGTGACTACTGATGAGCAGAATCTTACACACACAGCTTTGTAGCAGGGAAGCAG